GTTTGTTTGTCTGGTTTTAGCAACCTCAAGTTCTCTTTTTTCATGCCTAATTATTAACTTATGTTCCTTTTGCCAGAGTCTGTGGTCCCTTCTGTTAAATTCCTTGGGGCAGACCTTTCACTTTTTAAAAGAAGCCTTTTAACTTTTTATAACTTTCCTTGACTTGCATTGTTAACCATGCAGACATTCTTTTAGACTTGGCAGTGCCTTTCCTAACCTGGGAGACATTTTATCTGGCCTGCAGTAAGTGTGGTCTTAAATAACTTCCAAGCATCCTTTAGGGATTTGACTCTCCTGTGTTTCCCTTTCAGCTTCCTAACTATTCTCATTTCTGTAAAGTTTCCTCTTTTGAAATCAAATGTTACAGTTTTGTACTTTAGGTATAACTTTCCATTGACAGGAATACTGAGCTTAATAGCATTGTGGGCACTGTTTCCAGTTGGCGCAAAACTCTATCTCTCACCAGCCCTGCTCGGAACCAAGTCCAAGATCACTACCCTACTCATTGAGTCTTTGGCCAAATGTTTCAGTGTGCAGTCGTTTATGACATCCAGGAATCTAATTTCTACAGCATGACTACGGCACATCTTTACCCAAGTCAATGTGAGAGTAGCTGAAGTCTCTCAGTATCACAACATTATCTGTTTTAGTAACCTCCTTTATATCAAGATTAGCCTCGAGGATTTGATCAGGTGGGTGATAGTACACCCCCACTTTTACATAACCCTTAGGGCCCAGCATTCTCCACCCATATCACTTTTGTTGGGGAGTTTATTCCTCTTGTTTTCTATCTTATTTGGTTCTATGCACTCGTGTACAATCAACAGCTCCCCCAAATCATCCCTTCCTGTTCTGCCTTTCGAGCTTATACCCAGAGATGACTGTATCCCATAGCTCATCAGTACACAGTTTAGGTACATCTCAGCAAGATGAAACGATGTGGCACTTTACACAACATTCAAAGGGTTTGGGTAACAGACCACCTCCACAATTGCTTTGAACAGTAGGGGAAGATACAGGCTAAGTTCTTTTAATCTTGCATGCAAATATTTTAACAGCTGATCTTGAAAGACACTGCAACACAACAGATTTCCTGGACTTGATGGGTTTTTATTATTTAAAAGAGGTTATGCTTCACAGAAACAATGGCAAAGAAGGCTTAATAGTAAACTTGCCACTTTACAAAAATACACTTTCAGGAGGGAAAAGTAGATATACAAAAATACAACATTCTGACACATTATTTACAACCAGAGGCAGCAGCAATATTAAGCAGTTTTTTTAAAAAATAAATATTTTTACTTGTTACAGTCTACACTAGGTTAAACCACATACAGTATGATGACTGACGTCATCATTCCATTCATTACTATGTTTGAAGCTAGTCGTTCTGATTAAATATTCCTATTTCTATAAAATGCACAGCTTTTATGGAGACTTGCCAACTGGAATGCTACATAGTCCCCATTTGGAATGGAGCTCTGCCCCCGACATTTAGCATTTAATAAACTCTTCTCTCGTCTGACGTAGGCTACACATTTAGACTAATACATTCAGATCCTTTGGATTCCATTTATTGCACTTTTTGTCAATATTCTGCAGAAATAAATTGTACCTTTCCATATTTCTTCCCCAGTAGAACCCACACATTGTGGTGCTTCTTAAAAGGAAGTTATAGGCTTCTTTTGAAACATTTCATACAAATAAGAACATTACAGCACAGGCTTTTCCTTAATACGGTATTTCAAAACACAAACACGCAGTTTGCAGCAGCATACAGCTGAAATGTTTCTTGCAAGGCAACTCATTATACACGATATCATTATATGCCACTGTTCAGGTAAAAGGCATAGTGCTTCAAAAAATAAGATATAAAAACAATGCCAGCTATACATAAAGAATAGGGAGGATAAGCAACACATACAGAGCTCCCTCAATCTTGGGGGGGGGTTTTTAAGAGAGTACACCAGTTGCACCAAGTAAGGGTTTATAGGACATCTCTTAGGATATAACTGCATGTGACCCTGGGAGTTTTATGAACCAATTCAAAGTGCTTTTTATTTCTAAAAAGCAGCTATATGGTGTTCTGTATCTTGCTGTTCGGACCAAGGCCCACAATGCAGAAAGAGATAACAGAAACAGATCATAAAACATGCTGCTGAAACAGGGAGCGTGAAAAAAACATCTTGGGCTGCACAAGAGGTCGATCCCATCTTTCCATCCTGAGGACCGTTTGGAGGTCCATCTTCTGTATATCCTTCCTTCTGACACCACTGTGGAACACCCAAACAGCCCAGATAGGCATGACAATGTGCCAGTTGCTCCAGTTAAGAACAAAACCTTAGAGAAAACAGGCAGTAGAGGAATTTCCCAATGGAAAGTAATTAGAGAAACAATAAGATGGTCCACAGTGTAAAGCAATTTTGGAGCAACTTGGCCCTCTTAGGCAAGAGACCTGGAATAGTTTGGATGACCACCATGATGCAGACGCTCCCCAGTTACTGGGTCCAACAAAATGTGTGCCTCAAACACTGATGCCTCTGCCATCAAAGCTGGAAGCACAACCTGCGATCTGCAGATTGGGGGCAGAGTGTCTTAAGCCTTTTCTCCCACTGGGGCAAAAGTTCAGGCACAATGCCTATTATCTGTGCCTCAATGGGGAAAGCAGTGGTTCCATGGCATCATTCCAGGTGAGGAAAGTAAGGCAGGAAAAAGGGTTTACTTTCCTTCCCCAGGTACAAATTGGGCTACACAGGGCTGCTGTTTAGAAGCAAAAAAAAAACCCTCTTCAGAGTTCTAATCATAGAATTCTCCATGTCACCCATAGTTTGAGAATTAAAAAGTGGAAAGGTGGTCATGGGATGTGGCTTGTCTGTTCTAGAAAATTCAAGAGACAATTTAAGACTCAATTCAATTACACATACTGCTGCCAAATGTATAATTGAAAGCCTGCTCATACATGTACTTTTCACCATTTCACCCAAGTGATGACTGGCATATATGAAGGGGTCACTGCAGTTAAGTCACCACAGATGGAGCTTTCATATCATCAGAGGTCCACTCGCACAATAGCTTTTCATAAAGACAGCTCACATATTTAGTGGACAGCCATAAAGTGCTCTACATACTTAGGTGGACCAGTCTTTAGACCATGTACAATGAGTTTGATTTTATCATAATGCTCTGACGCTGCATAATACCAAAGTCACAAGCCATCACAGACACCATGTGATGGAACACAATGGGACAAGTCAGCAACACTGTGCCAAAAGTTAGCCCAAGCTAAAATGAAATGAACCATCATCAGACAACAGTGATGTCACCGGTAAACTGGGGCTGCATCCATACATGGTTGGATATTGTACTCTTGAGCTACAGCAATCATTTGCTTTGCCACACGAGACAATCCAGCTGCAGAGATTGCCACAGAGCTGATGCAGCAACAAACTGGGGTGTTTTTTTTTTAAATTCTGGTGGCACAACACACAGTCATTTATTAGGATTTGGCATCTGCAAAACTGCATGAGATTCATGATTTCCATATTCACTGTAAAAGTTTAGCTCAGATTCAGGATATTTTAAATAAAAATCATGAGTTTTGTTTGAAGTTTCTTTTTTTTTACTATATGGAATGACCAGCTTACCCTTTCTTTTTAAAAAAGTAAACGGTTTCAGATCCCAAACTCGATGTGTCTATAGTTTCCGCCCCCCCATCAACAGACACTGAGATTTTAGCTTTACAAACTAGTTTTACAAAGTAGGAAAACCCTCTCAAAGTAGGAACATTTTGGAAGATTCTGATTTATAAACTCAAAAGTTCTATCAGCTCAGTTTCTTTTTTAAAAATACTGCCATGTCCGTCTTTTAGCTTGTTCTTTGTAACAAGTCATCAGCACTTCTATTTGTACATTGACCTATCTGCTAAGTCTTGGCAATGGACCAAGAACATTCTAACAGGGGAACATTGATAGCTCCCTTCCTATGCTTGCTGCCATGCTACAGTTGACCGTCATAGTTTTCCTTTGAAATTTCAATTTAAGATTGACAGACCCACCAGTGGCAATACAGGAGACTAGGTAAGTGGGGTCCCCAAATACACCGAATTGAGGTGTTCTAACTGAATGGAATATACTCTCACATTCAAATAAATCATACCCAACTGTTGACTACCTATTTACCAGTTTTCAAATTGTTTGCTGTAGGATTGGAAGGACTTCATTTTAGAGTTCCACGCTGGGTGCAGTTCACATGAAGCCACAGCTGTATGCAACTCTCCCTCCTGTGGTAGGATCCTATACAGCTGGGGGTTATGTGAAAATGATGCAAACAGGGCACACCATGTGGCACTTCCTCACATAGCTGGAATACTACAGGCCATTGAGATGAAGCCCCAAGCACATGGGATCACTTTGTGGAAAATCCAATCTAACATGGCTGAGTGTGATGGAATGCATCTTCACATATTAGTTTATCCCATTAATACTAGTTCTAAACTAAGATTTTGGAATATTCAGTGATTGGTGGTTTGAAACAGAAGGTAGGTGACTAATGATGTTTACAAGACTGAACCGTAAGTTTGCACATGAAGCTTTACATAAATGGCTGTCTTTAAGATCAACAAATAATAAAATGAGATGTTTAGTTTCATAGTATACAAGTTCCGGTGAACATCTTTCTTATTTGGCTAATGAACCAAAGATTAATTATGTGCACATTGGTGAAGCTAGTCTACAGAAAAATCTGCAATACCTTAATTTGGTCTGCTTCTTTCTGTTTTTTGACTATAACTGTATGCTTATTTCACTTAATTTGGTCTGCTTCTTTCTGTTTTTTTTACTATAACTGTATGCTTTGCACACATTTTCTACAGCCATAAAATTCTAATGTATCTTAGGACAGAACAGATAAATCAAAGCATATTCTGGTTTCAAGCAGAAGAGACACCTGCCCTCCATGCTAGCAGCCTATTGAGATGTACTGTTTCGAGAGGGGCTCACAATCATTGTGGGTCCTACAGTGGTGCATGGAGAACATAGAAATTCCTTCTGAGTGGGTATCGATACGCAATTCCTGTGGAAATCTTTCAAGACAGGCCCCTAGTCTGATGCCATATAAGATCCTCTAAGGACGTTTCATCTTGTGAGGTGTTGTAAGACAGATGCACATTTTTCGATGAGCCAGAAGTCTTGGGATACATATGGAAGGGACCGAAACCAAATTTTAGTGTACAAAATATACACTTAATATTTGGTTGCTGCTAGAATACAAAGCTTATGATTGATGATATTGAACTACCATCATCATTTCTTCAGTTATTTACCATGTGTTTGTACCTTAGGGATGATTTTGACAAGATGAAGTTCACAGGGCGAGGAACCACAGAGGGGCACTTCTGTAGCTCGCTTCTCATTTACACTGGCAGGTGGCACCATCATGCCCCAACCTAAAATTAACCCTGGCTTTGAACATCCAGTGAAGCTTTTTTCCAGAACACGGGTTTCGGTGTCTATAACATACTAAAAACTTTGCAGCAGTGAGGTAGAGCACAATCAAAACAATGCAAAAATAAAATACAAAATGATTCATTTCTTTCTTCTTTCTTGAAACATGTGCAGACTTAAGCTTTGGAATGCTTTTGTACACAGAGTTGAGAAATGGTCTTCTTAATGCGAAGTGCCGTTAGGCGAGCTGCCCCATTGGCGTACCAACATTCCCGCATTATTCGGCCCATTACTCTGAGTGCCTTCAGAAAAAGAAAACCAAAGGGAGAGAAGAGCATTCAGGAGCCTTTTCCACACAGCATCACAAATTCCAATAGGCAACTGCAGATTTTTAAAATAGTAAACCCTGAAGCAAATGTTACCTACTGTTTTGGATAGTTTGTTAGAAACAGACTAGCAATGAAAAATGAATGTTTAAATCTTTATGTTTTTTCACACACTGCTTTGTGTGTTCTTCAAACAAAACATTTTATATACTGAACATCTCCAGTCTCCCTTCTTCACCCAATTCATTGTAGAACTTAAAAGCATGGGTCATTTCGTAGAAAAAGTGGTGCAGGAGCTCATTAGCATAACTCATTAGCATAACTTATTTGAATATGCCACACACCCTGACATCACCGGAACTGTGTCAGAAGGCAACACCCACCGCTCAGGCTCCACTAGACTCTTTTGGATTGCTAGCTATTGGGGGGGGGACACAAGATGTGCAGATCTGTCCTTGCAGAGGAGGGAGAGCTTGTACCTGAATAAAACTTGGTCTTAAAGGTGCCACTGGACTGTTTTGGGCCGGGGGGGTGGGGGGAGCTCTGCAACTTACCTGGCTGCTTCTTGCTCTGACTGAGGGCTGCTGGGAGCAGGGGGTGGGGCTTGTTGCATGTGCCTGCCCCCTGGGCTCTTTACTGCCGGAGCTCCACTCCTGTGCGCTCCTGCAGGAAATGACCCCTGCTTAAAAGTTAGATCAGATGCCTCTTTTATATTGATGCCATGAGAAGACTTCTGCCAGCAGTAGAGACTCCACTGATGCAAGCAGCAGGAAGGGTGATTTTGTCCCTTGTCACTGCAGCCAGCTGTCCTATGCTGATTTTAATCCACACGAGCCCCCCTCCCCCCACTGCTGCCACTTCCTAGCCTGCCTTTATAGCACTTGGAAGTGGCTCCTGGGGAAAGGGCAGGAAAGATCCACCTCAGACATCAGCTTCTGCTGCACAGGATCCAAACCAGGATATGGCTTTCTATGGAGATTAACTGAAGTATAATCTGGTATCAAATATGGAGATATTTGAGTGCTTAAGTCTTTACAGCCTTGTAGAATCCATCAAATATTTTTATAGCATTTACAATACCAGTGGCATTTCATCTCTACTGATTAATCTTGCCCGGAAAGTTTTGTTTGGGGTTAGGGCATTCTTAAACTACAGACACTGTACTGCATGGGACAGATCTTTCATGATATACAGCTTCATCCTAAGCAGAGTTACACACTCGTAAATCCACTGAGGTGAATAACAGTGCCATCCTAAACCAAGTTATACCCCAGTCTATTGAATTACCTCAGGTTGACATTATTCTGTTGAAATTTTTAACTCATTTACAAGGGAGTAAGTCCCATTGACTTATTTCAATAGGACTGCTTCTGAACATGCATACTGAAGATTGTGGTGCATGTCTTTCAAGTGCTGCCAAATGAACAGCACCATATTCAAACTCAAGAGTGCTTAACTGCCATTTCTGTCATATTACTGGTGGTGGTAACTTGTGCATCTATTTATCTGAAGTACCAACTGCATTCTCCACAAAGAACTCAAAGCACTTTCTTTAACAAAATCAATACCTTTAATTACAAAATTAAGCTCTATAAAGTCTAAACAGACTCAATAAAAACATCACTAAATAAAATGGCAGAGTAAAATATGCAGTAAAAACAAATCGGCAAGCAAAAAAAAATTCAACTTGATATGAGAATGAGGATTAAAAAACACTGCATAATTAACTGAAAACTGGAAAATAGCAAAGTTTTAGGTGATATATATATATAAAAACCCTAATAGGTTAAGTGCTTGACTAGTGGTTGAGCGAAAGGCATTCTGCAGTAAACCCATCCCACAGAAAAATTCCCTGTCCCTGATTGCCACCCATTTTACCCACCTGCCTGGTAACATACAGAGCAGGGTCTCCCGCAGAGGGAATATATCTAGGAGGCCTTCTGATTATCACCAGAAGTATACACAAAGGAAACAATTGTTGTATTGTTTATCATACAGTCAACTATCATCCCTATTGGTTACATTACTAGGGAGTAAACCTATGGGGTTGTCGTAAATAAACTGCAACTTGACAGCACTTTGCACCCACATAAATTAGTCTGGATGCCTTGCCTTTCCCCCTGAAATCCATACATCAGTGAGATGCTCTGACAGCCATAAAATTAGATGTACATAAGCCTTTCTAGGACTTACATCTCCCATTCTGAAAAGCCTCTCTAGAACTAAAGACTGCCTCATACCAAGACCTATTTGCCTCTAAGACGAGTAGCCAATGAGGAAAATACTACCTATGCTGGCTTGCCAGAGTACTTAAAACAAACTGGAAATACTCACTTTTAAGATACATTATCTTAATAAAAAGACAAATACGAGAAATTTTTACCTCACAGCTTTGCCACTGATTTGGGATATTTGGTCTAAGTTTTTGTTCACAGACTACTTTTCTCATATCTTCTATGGAGGGGTCAGAAGGGACGACATCATGGTAAGGCAACTGATATTCCTCAACAATTCCTAGAAGAGGGAATTGGTAGAAAGGCAACATTATCAGGGCAACTTCAAGCATTACAGGAGAAAAACACATGTTTTAAAAGGATATGTATGTCTGACCAATCTTCAGCTTCCTGGCACCAGTTTTTCTTGCTGCCAAATGTGACCCATTGACATGACCACTATGTATTCCATTGCAGTAATCTGTAACCAGAAGCATATTCACAGTTTGGATATGGCCCGCAATTGCCTCTGTCAGCTGCAAGGACAGCATGGGCTAAAACACTGTGTGGGGAATGGGTGTGCTGACAGGGAGAGGAGAAGTGGGAAGGAAAAAGAGATGCCATTCCCCCCCCCCTTTCCCCCTTTTTTACTGACTTTCCTTCTGTGCCTTGAGAGGCAACAGCAGAAAGTTTCTTCTCCTTGTCTCCCCCCTTACCCTCACCACAACTCCATGCAAACCTCCACTTGTTGATACAGGGTTGGATCCTATGTGCCCATTCTGCTAATTTGAAGGAAGCTTCCTCCAATGGAGAATGCCTTCTTTTCTGACAGAGAAAGGCTTAAGAAAAGATTTTCTTTGTTGAAGGACTCCTTTCTCTGTTTGAGGAAAAAATGGTGGAAGGGAGTCATAGGATACAACCAATAATATTCTTATGCTGTTTTCTATGTACTCTTTTGTTTAAAGAATTGGCACTGTGCAAAGAGCTGACTAAACCTAGAAACTAACTGGATTTGCTGTTTACATAATGATCTACTTCAGTTTCTTATCACACCATGCTTGGGTACATATAAGGTCTGTCAGTTTGTATGGTTGTACAAAGGAGGGGGGAGAGAACACACACGCCTTCATGGGCAGCTCCTTGTACAATGCAAATTTGTCCTTCAGTCTTCTGTTCTTTTTTTTAAGTCACACTCATTTGTTGTAGGGACTTAACCCAACGACACAATCCAATTGCTCAAGTAGAGTGACCTTTCACACAGAGAACTGGTAAAGTGGAAAAATACGCACCGAGTACAACTTATGGTGCAACTTATTTTAAGATACTCGGTAAACTCAAGCATGACAGCAAAAGCCATGTGATGATGGCCTCCTAAGCAAAATCGTTAGTAAAAGTGTTAGGGGGGGGAAATTCTCAGGAGGAGCACTTACCAACTACCGCTAAGCAAATTCTGAGTTTCAGTTGCCTGAATTCTTGTGTCCTAACCGTTTTATTAAACAACCCCCTCCACGGTTCCCCTTTCCCCCCTACACCATGAACTGCTTGAGATAACCAGTATCAATTTCTGAACATAGAAGTTATTGTTATACATGCACGTGTACACACACACAAAATGGGGACCAGTAAGATTTGTGGGGGACAAGTCCCATTCCTTTTGTGTCCCCCTGTTGTGTATGCTGACCACCACCAGGGGCCAGTGAACACCCCAGAGCTTGACTCTGGAGAACAACGGGGACAAGGCTCCTGGTCTCTCCACTGGGGGGACCAATGGGACTTAGGCGGGAGTTTAAACCCACCAACTGGACCAAGGGGGTGGTCCCCAGGGTGTAGATAGTTGGCCAGCCGGCCGTTAGTCTTTGCTGTGTCCAGCGAACCATGCGATCACTATACCAGCCGCAGTGGTTCTAGCATGCGTTTAACCCACTACACAATACCCCCACACTGGGCAGCCCAGTGTATAGCTCACACTCCTGCAGAGCTGCCACAATTGGCTGCCTGGCTCACACAGTGGGAGGGGACACCAACTTGCTGCTCCTCCTCCCCCCCCCTCTGAGCACTGCACTGCCACCTTTACCTGCCTCACTCATGCAGCAGCATCTCTCCCCTCCTCCTCCTCCTCTGTACTTACCTGCTTGGCACATGTGGAAGCAGCTCCAGCTGTGCCCTCCTTCCACCTGCCGGATACATTCTCTCTCTCTCTCGTCTACCTGCTTGGCTTAGGTGGTAGCTGTGGCTCCTGCTCATCTGCCTATCCCACAGAAGGGGATGCTCCATTCCAATGTCTGTGCAAGTACAGACAATGTTTGCCTATTCTGAATGGGGGATTATTTAAGTCTGCCTCCATTTTGTGGGGTTTTCTAAATATTTTTATGAAAACATAAGGGGTCTCCAAAGTCTGCAGAAGAATACCTCCCATCTGAACCTGGCCCTCTGGGTTTATCAATCCACATGAGGGCCAGGGTCTGCATTAGATATAGGAAGAGAAAGAGAGTCAATTGGTCATATCAGTTATAATAATTCCTGCTACAAAAAGAGCCCTGGCGGACATAGAGGGGGTATAGGAAGAGAAAGAGAGTCAACTGGTCATATCAGTAATAATAAAGTAGTAAGTAAATTGACATCCTTTCTCTTCCTATACCCTCTCTATATCCTATATATAATGCTGGCACTGGCCCTAATGTGGATTGATAAACCCAAAGGATAGGGCCAAGTTCAGACAGGGGGTATTCTTCTGCAGACTTAAAATCACCCTACCCTGGATAGCTTGGGCTAGCCCCATCTTGTCAATTCTCAGAAGCAAAGGAGGGTTGGTATTTGGTCAGCATTTGGATAAGAGACCACCAAGGAATACCAGGGTCATGACATGGAGGCAGGCAATGGCAAACCACATTTCTTGCCTTGAAAACCCTATGGGGTCGCCCATAAGTCAGCTGCAACTTCATGGCAAAACACAACAACAACACTCTAAGGTGCCAAAGAAACCTTCAAGCTCGAGTTCTATGTAAGAGAAATGTAGAAAAGGGCCAATAAAACATGGGGAGGAAGCCGGGGGATATCTTGCTAGTAGCTGCTGAATAAGATCTGTGCTGAGTTTGTTTTTCCTCTGTTCTGCAGGTATATAAGCTTGGGTGTGGGCAGAAGCACAAGTCTTTTGGCGTGAGTCAAAGGGGTCTTGGCCCTGGCTTATAGGGCTATGGTCCCAAACTGAGCCAATCCAGGAGATCTCAGACCAGCCGAAGATGTTGTCAGTGTACTTTTTGTTTGTTCTGTTTATCTGACTTGTATTTCTGTCTCTTTAAGTTGTACCTTTATTGTGGTATTTTGTAAGCTTCTTGTGGAGAAAGGAGGGTAAAAATGCCTACATAAATGCACTGCCACTGCAATCCAATCAACAACTTCTGTTCTTCACCAACAATTAAGTGGCAGGATCATCCAGATACACCTTTTCCTCTTTTCTAGTCCTTAAAAAGAAAGTTCTCTTCTCCTCAGCCCTATGAAACTCAAAACTTGAATAATGATAGACTATCATTGGCATAAAAGGATGTCAATCCAAGTGCTCCAGAATGTCTTAATACCAACTTATATTTCAACCTTCCAGAGGAATGAGAAAAGGTAACTTACTCCTCAATAGTGTGCTATTGTAGTCCAATTAATTTGCATTGATAGCAGCGTGATTGCTGCTTGAAATGCAGCTATGTACAGTTAGTCGCCGCCTTCATATGGCAAGCTGGGTCTGTGAAGCAGCACCCCCTTGTGGCTCCATCAGTTTCAACCACATCAACACAGTAAAAAAAAAAAAGAAATAGGGAGTTATGTTGGCATGGATGAGACATCAGAGCCATGTGGACAGCCATTCCACATAGTTTATGACACAGATACTTCCATGCAGACACCGAATTGTGCCTACATGTATGGAATGAAATCAAGACTCGGTACAAAGTTTCATCCAAGCAAACTTTTCACCACTGATTTACAGATAACCACCATGAGCTGGATTCAGTCATCTCCTTGCACGAGTATCACGGATCCTTTTCACTTTCTTCTCCCATCAAGCAGCCACAGCTCTGCTCACAGAAGAGGCAGGGGGGGTTGCCATTTCATCCCTCCTTGTTCCCCCCCCCTTACTGCAGCCCACCATTACTTTGTACCGGTCCCACAATCCTGGCAATCAACCTTCTTGGCATCAGAAACAATTGCTGCATTGCAGGGAGGGGAGAGTAAAGATGATCAGTGACTATCAGGATCTTCTGCAGATGGATCCCTGGTCCATCCCCTGTTTCTTCACAATGTTCAAAGCAGACTTCTCCAGAGTTCTACTTATAACTAGAGATCACATAATATTTTACCTCTTTATTCTTATGCTATGGATTAATTTTAAAAAACAATGGAGAAGTAGCATGGAGTGCATGCACCACATTAACAAGAAATAAATCTTACCTCCAACTGAGCATCTTCGTGATATCTCCCAGTACACTAGACCAAGAGCATAGATATCTGTACGCTTGAAGGACTCAAAGATATTGATGTTCATGGCATCATCAAGTATTTCTGGAGCCATGTATCTTTTAAAATACAGAGAAAATTCACAGGTTTATAACAGAAATAATGCCTTTACCCATAGTTAACTGAAATATGTTTAAACATAGGTAATGATGAATAAAATAATTATAATTTTAATGAATACGTATAAATTACCAAACTAATTATTTTTCTTCCCAAAGGTCTCATGGAAGTCAAGATAAATAAGCTCAGTTTAAAGCACAAATACTGGTACAGTAGAACCCATATTTAGAACCATTGTTCCATCTACACTTTTTCGCATCCTACCAGATGGTGAGAAACACCAGAATATAGGCTACAGGGACCAAACAATGAATTTTGAATCACTCATAAAGTTATTTCTGAAGCACTGCAGTCAACAGTCACTGCGCAATCTTCTGGGCAATGATTCTCTGGGCAATCTTCTAATCCAGGTGTGCTCAGCCCTGACAAATCTCTGGGCACTTTTACAGTGTTGAGAACAAGCAAGTGGTTGGTGCAACAAAATACATGCCATGGGGCTAGGTCTAATCACAAAATACTGGGAAGTTCCACAACTTGCTCCAGGGTTCCAAGCCAAACCCCCTTGGTATGATGGAAGCAGCTGTTTCCAAATGGCTGTTTCCTACAAACATGCAGGAAATTCCTCCTGAACTCTTCTAAAGCATCCCCTACTCTAATGAAATGGAGGAAAGCCAGGAAGAAGCAAGTGAGTGCCAAAAAACCCTTCAGTAGGTGCCACATTCAGTGTTCTAGTCAATTGTTCCTGCCAGCTGCTGGGGTAACTTTTCAAATAACACGTGACACTGACAGAACTGTATGAGCCCAATGATTAGTTTAATTCAGTATGCTCAAGACAAAGAGATAGTCACTAGCTTTTCAGCAGGGAACCCAAAGCAAGGTTTCCTTCAGTGGCATACCAATGGGAGGGCAGGGGGTGCGGTCCGCCCTGGGTGCTGCTTGAGGAAATCGGCTGGAGTGCCCTCAAAGCCGGCGTCATGCTGAGTACAGCCGAACATCTTTCCTTTTATTTTTAAAATGCAGTTGTGGCTGCAGCCAATAGGGGTGCAGGCAAGTCTGAGCATAGCAAAAAGCACTCTAGGATAGGCTAGACTTCCCTTTCTCTGAGACTAAAGCAAACTTGCTTAACAGATCGTATAACCAGCTGTTACAGTAATTGCCAGCCTGCAGGTCATTTCTTCCAACAGTCTAGCCTGTCTTCCTTTCTTTGCACCCAGCTGAGCCAGATCTTGCAAACCACTAGTTAGGGGGTTGCAGCAAGATAAAACAACCTTTCCCTCTCTTAATTTATCTCCCTCTTTTCCACACTTTTTTCATTCATTTCTGTCTCCCTTCCCCTAATTTTTCCATGCCCCCCCCCTTTACTTCTAGGGAAGCTCACAAGACCTTCTCATCCCTATCCTGCTTGGTGACAGAATGTATTTAAGAGTAGTATAGTAGCAAACCTTTGTTAATATTATGATGAGAAGGCACTGGTTCTGCTGGGCTTCCAAACCCCCCCACACACACCTTGCTTGGACTGTGATTCTGTGCTTGATATCAGCTGGCATTGCCACAATGGCACCAGTTTCTGCTGGGCACCCTCTGATTGCACTGGTACTGCTGGGTGCTCTGTATATTGCCATGGTTCTGCCCACCTTCAGTTTCTACCACAGAGATTCTCTGGTTTGACTTTAGTCCTTTGAAAACAATGGAGGATGGCAGCAGCTTTGGGGGGGGGAGTGTGTTTCTTAACTGGTGAAGCTTGTGATCACTATTTTGTGATGCTTTGGCTAGTGTTAGTTAGTGAAAGGTTAGTACAAAGGCAGACTCCTAGCTCTCAAAAATGCCTTATAGATGTTTGGTATGGTCAGCTCTTGGGCTTCAAAATGGAGAACAGAAGCCCTTCCAAGTGCCTGCTCAGAGCATGAGTGGTGTGATGGAACTTATCTTTGCCATCAAGTCACAGCTGACTTATGGTGACCCTGGGTGAGAGTAAAGTGATTGGCCCAAGGTCACCCAGCGAGCTTCCATGGCACAAGTGGGGATTCGAACCTGGATTTCCCAGATCCTAGTCGAACACTTTAGGAACTACACCATGCTGGCTCTCATGATGGAATAGCAGGTTGGAATTTGTATTTTTTTTTTACTGGCATAATTATATGTAAAAAAAAGTTAAATAAAATAAAATGTTCACTGTCTGCGTTTCTTTTCTGGTTATTATTATTATTATTCATTTTATTTCATTTTTATTACTGAAAATAATTTTGTCTCATAGAAGATGGGCCCTGACCTGAATACCCCCAGGCTAACCTGGTCTCGTCAGATCTCAGAAGCTAAGCAGGGCTGATGTGGAGGCAGGCAATGGCAAGCCACCTCTGAATGTCTCTTGCCTTGAAAACCCTACGGGGCTGCCATGAGTCAGCTGTGACTTGATGGCAAAAAATAAAAATAGAGGGGGTTGTTTAAAATTATCTGCCCTGGGCGCCAAATAGGCTCGATATGCCACTGGTTTCCTAAATGTCAATACCATAATATTTAAATGAGAAATATTAATTCCTTTTTTCTATATTTCAAGCAGGTTTCCTCACCTCTTTGTTCCCACTCGAGGATTCTGAGGAATGTCAATTGTGTTTAATACAGAATCGTGTTTCACAGCCAGCCCCAAATCAGCAATGGCACAGGTCTCATTCCTTTTCACTAAAATGTTTTTAGATTTCAGGTCTCTATGTGCAATGGCAGGCTTGCCTGTGAAGCACAAAAATATATTTCTATTTCAAAATACTGTCTGCCATATTAAAAGATATACAGTTGGTACAATACAAGCACACGGTACATGAGCCACACTTTAAAAATGCCATTTCCTCTTAGCTTTTTGTTCCAGCATCCAAAATTAGTCCACATGTTTTTGTTCTATAATGCAGAAATACTGTCTATTTTAAGCATACACTACTCTCACATTTATATGAATGTTTTAATTTTCCCACAGTGCTTCAAATTGATATTGGTAACTCATAACTGCTAAATGTGTAGCTACAAAAGTGGCACACCTCAGCTAATGGCAACATTATGTAGGCAGCAATTTCATCTTCCAAAAGGCTTAGGAATTACTTATAACTTCCAAGCAGTGAATCCTTTTACAAAAGAAGCCAGACTGATGAAGTGGATATTGTGTGTGTGTGTGTGTGTGTGTATGTCTGTCTGTCTGTCTGTCTGTCTGTGTGTGATGGCTGCCAGAATTCTCAGGGAAACTCACAAAAACCAAACAAATTTGAGGTGAGCCAGGGAAGCCCACCCATATAAAAAGCTGGACTTCAGTAAAATAGGGGAGCTATGCCAAGTTCCTTAATAAATGGCCAAGATAGAAATATAAAAATGAATGTTTTAAACTAAAAAGTGAAGATAATATCCATCCAAATGCTTGTCTACTTCAGATGGAACTTCAGTCAGTGAAAAAGACATCTGCACTGAGCTACATACCTTGTGTACCCACGATCTCCATATGAAGGTGTGCTAGGCCACTAGCAATAGAAAAAGTAAATTTAATCATCCCTTCAACAGTCACAGTGTTGCTATTTAAATAGTCAAACAAAGAGCCTTGCTCATAGTATTCAGATACAAGCCACAGCTGAGTCCAAGTTCCATTATCTGTAGATGGAAAAACATATTTAATGTCATGTAACACAAGACCACAAAAGGGCTCAATGATTTCAAAACTCAGTCCCCCTCCCCTTCTTTCCTCACAGTAATATTTGGCAATCCAGAATTAAAAATGCATTGCATAAATCATGTCAGAATGGCTTTTTTGCTGCTATTATTAACACAGTTTTAACAATGTTAACATTAATGTATGTCACATGTTTTAAGGTTTTGATCTTAGGTTTGTGAGATTACTGGTCTTAGGTTTGTGAGATTAGTGTCTGTGTGTGTATATAATTTTAATATTTTTACTAATAATCCTAAGTGTAAACTAATTATCTTCATTTATACAATTTCCTTGAGGTGATATTGTTAGACTCTCTTCTTTACTTATCAGTATACCTAATAGTAAACTGGTTGCCAGACCATGGAAGATAAAATAAGCAAAACAGAAAAGACTGGGCTCTGTACTGACCCCCATAATTAACCATTCAACTGTCTTTCATACACACATGTGCATGGTGGTGAAAACTGCCATCAAGTTACAGCAGACTTATGGTGACCCCCATAGGGTTTTCAAAGCAAGAGATGAACAGAGGTGGTTCGCCATTGCCTGTCTCCATGTAACAACTCTGGACTTCACTGGTGGTCTCCCATCCAAGTACTAACCAGGGCCAACCCTGCTTAGCTTCCAAGATCTGACAAGATTAGGCTAGCCTTGGATATTGAGGTCAATACACATAATACATTCTCCTTCTTCCTCAGCAAACGTGCAAGATTTTGTCAAGATCCTGACATTACCATTTTTATATGTAAAAAATTAAAAAACAACAAATTATGGGTTGGATCCAGACTAAATTTTCCAGTAGGAAAATGGAACTTCTGCCTCCCCCACATACACACTGACTTTCATGAAATGCTGCTTCTCAGGGAAAGGGGACCTTGAGGAATGTCACGTTGGAAGTCTGAAATGGGAAGGGGGAATCAGTGGAAATTTCCAGTTTAGTCTGGATCCAAGTAAATGGTTATATCCAATGTTTCTTCCATCATGGAACCCAACAACACATACTTGGATCCCAAGTTCTCTCATTCAGGCGCCGACCAGATACAAATTGGCTTAGCTTCATCAAGTGCCTTCCAGCGATACCTCCCAAAATGAACCAAGTATAAAAAGTGGAGTAATTTATGCTGTCGAACGCACTGGGGAGCTTTCGGGTTATGTAGAACTTTTCATGAAAGAGACCTAAGTTTTCAACTATGTATACAGAAATCACAGTATCTGCTTGTGAACAGTATTTAGACGATACAAAGTACAATATAACCCCAAACATCACCTCCTGACTGAAAACTGTCCAGAAGTGACAGGATATTCACAGCAGCTGAGGGAATGGAAGTAGGGTGAAAAAGGAGACAAAATGGGAGCTCAGACAATCCAAACAGGGAGAGTCATGCCAGAATGGAGTTTCATACACTGAATCTATTTTGAAAGCTACACAGCATGGGAATTACTGGCAAGAATCCCCGCACCATTAGAAGGAGGATGGCAATGTTGAGCACTTTTCAGCTTAGACCCCCTGCCACTACCGTATAAATCAATGCAAGGGAGAATGTAGGGCTTAACTAGATGTTACAGAACCCATAGGTTTGACCTGTGAAAACCAACACAATTTTAGAGCAGAAATTGGCCATTTAAAAATGCTCCAGATTGGGCCCTCAGCGGGTTCAAGATAATGGAAGCTGTTTTATGTTTCTGACAGAAAACTACAGCAACAACTAGCTGTAATGTAAGAGCATGCCTCAAGCCATCGGGTCGGCACCAGAAAGCACGAGGGGTGGTACATGGATTGGTGGGTTAATGTGGAACAAAGCCCATGTGGAGTTAAGGGGGATTGAAGTCCAGTCAGATACTAAACGTTTGAGATTAACTCTGAGGGTATGAGTTTGAAGAGAAAAACACAAATAATCTAATAAAACATACTGTTGCAAATTTAATAACCATTACAAAGGGTGGCCCTATAGTGGAAGGAGAATGTTGCCTACATGAACATCAGTCTGTCCAGTCAGCACACTATGCAGTACCTAAAAGAAGAGTCAGGAATGCTCAACCCCGGTGACATCCAGCAGCTTATGTGTGCTTAACTGTGTGGTTTATTGCAGCTACTGACTATTGTGCTGACCAGTATCATTGCCCCATATCTAACCATGCAGTTTCGAAAACATAGGGGCCCTTCATATCTTAAGAGGGGACAGCAGTCTCTGCTGCTTCTACCCACCCTCCTTCTCCTGTAGCCCACTGAGCCTCCTGGAATTTCATTCCTGGAAGTCAGCAGGCCTTCAGGGACAGCCCTGAGAAGGTCTGCAAAGGGAAAGGATGAAAACTGGCAGGAATTGCTGCTCCTCTTAAGAAAGCTTAAGTGCCCTTCAGTTTTCTTAATATGGTTGGATATAACAAACTCACAAGGATTCTTAAACTTTAGTCTTTTTCAACCCTCACTGGCTTCTAGAGCTTGCTGAATCTTTTCCTCAGTTTCACCACTGAAATTGAACCAAAATGGGATCCCTGTAGATGCACCCAATGTCTAACTAAACAGCTGTCAGAAATTGGGTGTGTCCACATAGCTTTCATCCATTTAAAATGCCACAAAGCAGAGGAGCACATGCTTTTAGTGAAGGCTGTACCAATCTCTTCCACAAATCATTATATTTCTCTGCTTTTTTGCATTAATTAACCTATTCCCTTAAAAAATAAAATAATAATCCCACTGGGCTAATCCCAGTACAGAACAAACATTGTGAAACTGTTTGGAAGTGCTTTACCCTTGTTATCAGCAGCAATAAAACCAAGGATATTTTCATGCCTCAGCATAATTGTCTGATACATTTCTGCCTCACGAAACCAAGACCTTTCGTCCCTCGAGGAAAAGATCTTGACGGCCACATCTTCTCCACACCATTTTCCACGCCAGACTTCACCAAATCGACCTTTTCCTACTATTTCCTGAAGAACAATAGTCCTTGCAATAGTTCTTTGGACAAGAAGAGGTAGACCTAATGGAGAGAAATGCACACATTTGTAAAATTCAATCTTCACAGATTTTAAATTTCTTTGGGAAAAATAATTCCAATGATTATTGGATTAAGTAACTTGCAAACTTTATTCCCCTCTTCCAATCTTCATAAAAGCCACCCTGTGAAGCAGGTTAGGCTCAGAGATAATGTGACTAGCCCACGGCCACCCACTGATCTCGCATCGCAGAGGGGGACTTGAACCTGGGTCTCCCAGATCTTTGTCCAGAATGCTAAACAATGCACCATACAGGCTCTCTATGATGTATAACAGCATGTCTCTGGCACAATCCTTAATCTATTGAAAAAGTGGCAAACACTTTAATTGTTTTTAAATCAATCAATGTATCTAATTCTCAGCAATTCCAGAACGCAGGGCTAAAGGTAAAGCGTGAAAAATGCCAGATTAGGGTGCATCAGATTGAGTTTTTAGGGTTCCTGATCGACGCTGAAGGTGTCCACCCAACAGACAGCAAGGTCAGGGCAATACACAATGCCCAGACTCCCAATTCAAAAAAGGAGCTACAATCTTTTTTGGGCCTCCTCAATTTTTATCATGCATCCCTGCCACATAAAGCATCTGTAGCGGAACCTCTACACCAGCTGCTGGAAAAGAACTCAGTCGAGCTGGGGGCCAAGCCATGCCCAATTGTTTGCTGTTGTCAAGGGCTTGCTTTTGTCCAGATCCATTCTCACACATTTTGATGAGCGGCTGCCGCTCATCCTAGCCGCTGAATGGTTGGTTTGGAGGGTGCAGTCTATGGCTTTGTACCTGTCTGAGGTCCCACGCCTCCTGAAACCTCACCCTCTCCAGGCTCCATCCCTCACATCTCCAGAAATTTCCCACCTGGAGTTGGCAACCCTATCTCCTTTCCCAGCCAATCATCAACCTACCTTTATTTCCCCCTCACTCTTCAGCTTTCCACCACACCTGCAGCCTCTCCCGTGCTCTGAAGCCCTGACTGCTACGTCACATTGGCTGACATACGGGGGACACTTCAGCAGCATATAAGGATACAGAGCCCACCATTTTCTCCAGGGGAACTGATCTCTGCCATCTGGAAAACAGTTGTAATTCTGAGTGATCTCCAGCCCTCACCTGGAGATCGGACACATTTTACCTCAGAACAGCAAACTGTTTAGAATGTTAGAGACAAAAGCCAATCAAGTCGCATATGCAAACGACCTCTGTGTTCCAAGGCAAAGGCCAATGAGGCTGCATATGCAAATAACCTCTGTGTTCTGACTGGCTATGGGGGGGAGAGGAACAGCAAACTGTTTAGAATGTTGGAGGCAATGCAGCCAGTGGATAGGGACAGATTCTGAGTGACACACCAGGGCGCCAACCAATTCCGGAGCGTGTGGAATGTTCTAGAGAAGTGCCACCACCATTCGGCTTTTATGTATAAGGGAGATACTTGCTTCCATATCTTTTTCAGATACTGCTAACTCACTCAACACACACTGCAGAAGTAATCTTCCAGACTTCCAGAATTCATATTACGCTTTTGGAATTGCATTCATTACAGGCAATCTTCATCACACGCATGCCTGAGTACGTACACACACACCCCTTTCAAAGCACATCATTTAAATCTTCATGCCCTTGGGTCATACCCAAGGCAAGCAATGACCAACTGGTAGTCTGTGGGCCTGATACGGCCTTGAGAGTAATTTAATAGAGCCTTCCAAGGAATAGGGTGGCCAACCTCCAGGTGGCAGCTGGAGATCTCCTAGAATTACAACTGATCTCCAGGCAACAGAGATCAGTTCACCTGGATGAAATGGCCACCTTGGAAGGTGGAGTCTATGGCATTATATCCTG